CGGTTCTCTGGAGTAACTGTTACAAACTCTAGTCTCACATCTCTCGTATCACTCCATGCGCTCTTCTTGCATAATAAAATAATTTCAACTCATATAAATATTTCATGCACATTTATTTATTTATTTATTTGCCAAGCAGCTTCATGTCAGGTGCTGGTCACTCTGGTGAAAATGATCAGCAGACTGAAGTAATCTTTTTTTTTTATTGAATCATTTAAAAAGTATATGTAAAAGAGACTGAAAACAGATGTCTTGTTTAGCTCCCGGTGTAAACAGCATTTTGAAAATGCCATGTGTTCAATACTGAAACCTGCAGTGCCTTGTGAAGAAAAGAAAATCGGCATGAGATAAATATTAATAGACACCCATCACATGAATGTCATGCTGTAGTGCACAATGCAGGGGAATATATAGCCTGGAATAGTTCCTTCTTCCAGGACAGGGCATCATCACAATATGGTGAGGGGCGTAACATTTCCGTCACACGCTTGAGGTATTCGGCCAATCACAACGCACTGGATAGCTGGCCAATCACAGCACACCTCGCTTTTCAGACCGATGAGCTTTGTAAAAATCGACGCGTTTCAGAAAGGCGGGGCATAGAGGAGAAACAATAATGTACAGTATGTGGAAAATAATGTGTTTTTTAAACCTTAAACCGCATAAACACATTTCATTACACCAAATACACAACATAATGTTCTTTTTAGCAACATCATATGACCCCTTTAATAGTCCAAATAACTTTTTTCACTTTTTGTGCAATGGAAAGGATACCTTAATGTTTCTTCGTACAACCATAGTTGCCAAAAAAAAAAAAAACTTTATTCAAAGTCTTTACGAAGTCATGCTTCACACAAGCTTTGTTTAAGGAAGAGAAAGAAACTGTACTATTCAAGCATTTTGAACTATTACGTGATATAGTCATTGTTAGAATTCATGAGTAGATGAATAAAGAGTTATCTTGTCTTCACGAATGCCGTTTGATCAGAACGGACTGTATAATACGGTTCTCTGGAGTAACTGTTACAAACTCTAGTCTCACATCTCTCGTATCACTCCATGCGCTCTTCTTGCATAATAAAATAATTCCAACTCATATAAATATTTCATGCACATTTATTTATTTATTTATTTGCCAAGCAGCTTCATGTCAGGTGCTGGTCACTCTGGTGAAAATGATCAGCAGACTGAAGTAATCTTTTTTTTTATTGAATCATTTAAAAAGTATATGTAAAAGAGACTGAAAACAGATGTCTTGTTTAGCTCCCGGTGTAAACAGCATTTTGAAAATGCCATGTGTTCAATACTGAAACCTGCAGTGCCTTGTGAAGAAAAGAAAATCGGCATGAGATAAATATAAATAGACACCCATCACATGAATGTATGGTTCAATAGTCGGCTACCTTTCTATTTGGCATATATGTTGATTTTAATGTGAGAGGGTGATTTCAAACAGCTAGTGTTGCTATGTAGACTCAAACACTTAATGCAAGAAAAATACAGAAAAAAATCAAGGCATGGGCTCCACACTGGTTAGATGTGGTTACACAATTGATGCTGTTCTTCAAGAAAAAAAAGAAATTTTCCACAAATATATTAGCCAGCACATCTGTTTTCAACATTGATAATAATCAGAAATGTTTCTTGAGCAGCAAATCAGCATATTAGAATGATTTCTGAAGATCATGTGACACTGAAGACTGCAGTAATGATGCTGAAAATTCAGAATATATTGTAAGAATATTTATAAATATGTGTATATTGCAATATATATTGACTGTGTTTTTGATCAAATGGTAAATGTAAGCATTTTGTCACAAATCGTACTGATCCCAAACTTTTGAATGGCATATATTTAAAAATGTAAACATGAAAAATGGTAATTGGAGACTAATTTGAACACTTTGAGTAATACAAGTATGTGGAGCTGATTGTTTAATAGATTAATTGAAACAGAAAGTGAAATGATTCACAGAAATTGATCAAACTCGGACATCATTTCGGCTAAAAAAATCAGAAACGCTAATAAAACATCTGTCTAATTCAAAAATGTCTTCTTTTTTTTGTAATAGGATAGATAACTTTGTCATTACGTACTGCAAATGGCACTGTGCAATATCACATGTGTCAGAGAAACAAAGAATCAAAATTTCAGTTCCTTCATCTCTCTTGTACATCTAATTTTTAGTACGCACTCAGAAATCCAAATGACACTCGAAGAAGCACCCTGGAAGTTACATAAACGCTCAAACTATTCCTAAGCATGCATGTAACTTTTGTAATGATGCTTGGCATCCTTGTCCCTCAGGGTGTTCTAGACACACTTGGCTGTCAGTCAAAGCCGTGCAGTCAGTGACTGTCTGAAGCTTCCTTAATATCCTCGGCCGCTCTGCTGGGTCGACCGGAACGAGGGTCGGGCATTAAGGCACAGCTCACTGGACAATGGCAGGCCGTGAAATCCAGACTGACTCACAACCACTCACTGACAGTCCCATCAGGGGCTGCTCCTGTAACCGGCTTATCGCTCTGACACAGCGGTGGCTCACTTAATATATAGCACATCCTCATGTTTCATAAGTGGAGGAAGTTATCGTCAGGAAGGAGCATGACCTCAGGGTGTTCTATAAAGAACTAAACACCTTTGAGATGTTGTATTGTGCTGATAAAAACACTTCTCTGAATAGCCATTTCACCTCTGTATAGCACATTTTCAGAAATAAATGCTGGATTTAGATGTATTTCAGGTTTTACATGTTGGAAAAAAATCATAGCCTTTTTATAGTCTGTATTCAAGTTCTTTTTATATATATATCTAACAGGAGCAAACCAACCTGTGAAATGTTTAGGAAAACCGGTAACACTTTGCTGTAAATTCCATTACTTAACACTACTTATCAAGATTTGTTAGTATTAGTTAATAAAAATAGATCTGTTCATTGTTACTTCGGTTCATGGTTAGCTCGGGTCCATTCAATAATATTAACAGAATTCATTTTTAATTTTGATAATGTAATGAATATTAACTAAGGTTAATAAATGTTTAGGAAACATCAGTAAAACTTTACAATAAGGTTCCATTTGTTAGCATTAGATAACTACATTAGTTAACACAAACTAACAATGAAAAATACTTCTAAAGCATTTATTAATCTTAGTTAATAATAACCCCAGCATTTACATCAGCTAAATCGAAAGTTGTATCTATTAATGTCATTTAATCGACCTGAGTTAACATGGACTAAAAATGAACAGTTAACTAACGTTAATAAAGATCAATAAATACTGTAACAAATGTATTGATCATTGTTAGTTCATGTTATTTAATTCATCAAATATAGTTAACAAATGGAATCGTATTGTATTTTTCATTATAGTTCATGTAAACTAACCTATGGAATTCAACCGTATTCGTTTATTTTAGCTTTGTTTCTGTTTTGCCCATGTTGAGTGCATTTAAAGGCTTCAGTGAATGCGGTGTCACAGCTGAGCTTCCGCTCCGGATGGCTCGGCTTAATCTCCCCACAGCTAATATTTCCAGGACCTGGGCCAATCAGGCGAGATTTAAAAATATCCATCACTGTGTTTTTTAACAGCAGATTGTGTACAAGTCCACCTTAGGCCTGCTGTTTGTATGATTCATGGCGTCATGTTCTGTTGTGCCGTGACAATTAAAGTGTGTGAACACGACGTTTCATCACACTGAAGACTTTAAGCTGTCGTGTGAATCTGTCAGTGAGCAAGTGATATGAAGCTACACATCATATAGGCAATATAAGTGTCACCTAGGGCCCCAGTGTCCTGGGGGTTTGCAAGGTGGTCTACAATAAATGAGCAGATCATACATTTCAATGTGAGGTCTATACATTGTTATCTTAAAGCACAATTAGACAAAACAAATTGAACAAATGTGTCAAATCTTTTTTTTTGTCATGCCATTGCACGACTCATTGCTTGATTTTCAAAGTGTGTGAGCACTGAGCACATCCTTTCCATAGGGATGTCCATGTGTGTTTTGTCACTGATGCAGTTGGGATACAATTCTATCTATTCAGGCTATATTGCATCTGCAGATTTTTGCTGTAAATGTCAAAATCACCTTTTCCGCCAAGAAAAGTGTAGGGAATTGTGGTGCATTTGTAACCTGACATAAAATACACACTATGATATTTAGCGATTCATAGTTGGATTTCAAACGTTTTGAAAAGCGTTTAGCATTATGTGACTTTATTGTTTCAATAAGTTGAACGCTTACATAATTTTGCATGCATATATTTCTTCATATGCATATGAAAGCCCCGCCCACTGATGAGACGGAGTGAATTAAAGCGCACCGACGCCAAAGCGTTTCCCCTCGAACAATGTCCTTTAGCAGATGAGTTGTTCTGATTTAGAGGTATATATTTTCATATCTCTGTTGCGATCAACTTTAATATTGTTTCGATATTAAAGCAGGATCCATCAGAGGTGTGGATGGAGGTTGTATTTTCCCTGACTGCAGCATATTCCTCCGGCGCGCACTGAGTGTGCGTGGGGATCTCTGCCGCACGCGCCGCCCCCTTTATAAATGATGCGTAAAGGATCTCCAGTGTCACACACAGCACTCTGAGACTTCAGAGAACTCAGGAGCAGATGCTCATCTCCGTCTCCGCTTCATCTTTTTCACTCTTTTCTATTGCTTTTTGATACAAACCGACACTTATCGGCGTATTGCTTCGTCGATGAGGCTTTCGCGTAATAACCGCGCTCCGATGAACAAGTGCCGCTCGCTTCATTCCGTCAAATCAGGGAATCTCAAGCACAGATAATAATAAACCTGGTGATGTGGAAGTGCTTTAGTCGTGCTGATCCTCGGCGATGTTTAGACGCGAGATGGGACGCAGGGTTCCCCTGTAACATGCGCGGATCGCGGGATCCCCGCTGCTGAGCAGAGACTGTCAAAGACACTTTGGAGATTGCATCAAAATGGTCCAGAACGTGATTTTGGTGTTTTTCCGCAGGAGACTGAGTCAGAGACCAGCAGTGGAGGAGCTGGAGAGCCGGAACATCCTCAAACGTGAGTATCGCACCTGTCAGCGCCTGGGATGCTGGAGGTAGACTTTTCTTCCTCTAGCTGGAAATCATGTTTATTACCTGCCTGTTGACAAATAGCATCACCATTTTGCTTAAAATTCATACTACTGTGTTTTAAAAATAAAGTATGTTTTTATTCACTGAAATAAAAATGGCCAGGCAACTTAATGCACTAACTTGGTTATATTCCCAAAGCTGTTATTTCGTGTGACTAAATCATCTTGACCTGATTAGGATCAGTTTTGGGGGTAACGCAGCACTTGTGGGGTTGATGAGTAGGCTATATCAGGTTGCAATTATATTCGCATACAATGTGAGCACCCAATACATTTTTTTTTGAAGTAATGAAAACAAAGATCATTGGAGTATCTTTTACAAGAAAATACTATTTCAGTTTTTCCAACTTAAAAATATCACATTTAATTGAATGTGACTTGGTGTTTCCTTGTAGTTGTTTGTGAAATTAACTGCCGATTTCTGAGTGAAAACTAAATATTTTTAAGTGTATTTCTATGGTAAAAGTTAGATTCCGTATTTCTTCTGTAACAGGTCTCTATATTTCTAAAAAAATCAAAACAATCCACACACACAAAAAAACTGGATAAATCTGAGGGAGGCGTAAATGTAATTTCAGCTCATTTGGAATAGGGAGATTATAGATGCAATCCGTCTGGAGCTCGACACAATAATATGAGCGATTACAGATTGAGACGGAGTGGCAGAGATTACACAGGTCTGCACATGATCACCGTCTGAGTCAAACAGAGTAATTTCACTGTTTCATTTAATTGCTCTGTAATAGTGTGATGATTTTCACATGATTTAAATAATTAGTGAACTTTACAAGAAAAACCTTTTTGGTGTCCAAAACCATAGTGGACGTTCTCGAGTGCACTCATTCAATCCCACAATGCACTGCAAAAACGAGTGTACAACTGGTGCACGCTCAACGGCTAGAGAATGCCCATAATGCACCGTGAGAGCCGGAAGATGGCGCCCGCAGCTGAATAATCAATCCGTTCATTTTTACAAAGCGCTCATCCATGGCGTACAGCATAATGTACAACACGGGTACAACAAATTAATTATTAAATTGTTTGATTAGGGTTTATACATAATTTCCGTTACAGAGTTCAAGATAAATCCTTTAATCTTACTCCTGGAGCTGCTAGTGTGCTAGTTTCAAATGATTAATAAACAGCAAGCACCAACTATGCAAAAGCGGCATTCCTTCCGGTGCACTCAGTGTCCGAATTCACTACTTGTTTTCATTCACTCCTTCTAGTGAACTGAATTAGTGACCTAATGTAGGGAATAGTGAATGAGGGTATAGGGGGCGATTTCGGACACAGCCACGGATTCGCTGCCCACACGAAAACGCAAGGGCGGCGTTTTCAGATTTATCCACTCTGGGACCTGGTTTAAAAAAATATCGGTTTCACTCTCCCAAAACGACGGATCCATCTGGACGAAACGCTTAAATGCCTATACGATACAGCTAAATGCGTCTCCGTGTGGACGGGGCCTAAATGTGGTCAAATCATTGTAACACACAACCTTGAGTGGTTTACTGCAGCAAGAGAAATAACAGACGCCAGTGGTCAAGAAATCAATGTATTTATAAATGATAACAAGATGACCTGAATCAGAATAAGCAGTTATTTTGTCAAGTAATTTGATCATGAGCCTAACTATACATTCCTAAAAATGCTGGGTTGTTTCAACCCAACTTTGGGTCAAATATGGACTAACCCAACATTTGGGTTAAAAAATTAATGTAAAACATTTTACCCAACAGCTGGGTTAATCCATATTTGAACTCAAGCAAACCCAGCATTTTTTAGACTATAGTCTGTGTCTTTTATGAGCATTGCAACTACTTGAAACTCATCTCATCCTTTACAGAATTTAAGTAGGAACGATCCGTTTTTTTCCTTGATGCAGCTGTTCAACTAAACCACTCTTTTTCTTGTCTTTCCAGCTGAATCAGCGGCCCACCGTTGACGAGCTGCGGGACAGAAAGATTCTGATCCGTTTCAGTGACTATGTGGAAGTGGCCAAAGCTCAGGATTACGACAGGAGAGCAGACAAGCCCTGGACGAGACTATCTGCTTCAGATAAGGTGCGCATTATAAACTCACACACGACCCCTACAGGCCAACACACACTGCCACGTTGAGATAATAGAGATATATTTGATATAAAAAATATATAAAATTCATTTGATTCATCTAAAATATCATGATGTGATTCTGTTATATAAAATGCATTAATAAAATGAGAAAGAAATACAAATATTTGTATAATCTGTGGAGTTCACATTTTCTGTGTTTTTTTTGGGGGAATTTAACACAAAGTTAAACAAGTCCAAACAGCATTATTAAAATTACGTTTTGTTTTTTTAAAGAAATAAATACTTTTATTCAGCAAGGATGCATTAAACTGATTGAAAGTGGCATTAAAGACATTTATAATGATTTCTATTTCAAATTAATGCTGAACTTTCTATTCGTCCAAGAATCCTGAACAAAAAGTGTTATGGTTTCCATGAAAATATTATCATCACAACTGTTTTCAACATTGAGAGTAATCAGAAATGTTTCTTGAGCGGCATCACATCAGCATATTAGAATGTTTTCTGAAGTAAATTCCAGCTTTAATCACAGCAATAAATTACATTTGAACATATTTGCACATAGAAGTGTAATAATATTTCACAACATTACAGACTTGACTGTGTTTATGATCAAATAAATGCAGCCTTAAGGAGCAAAAAAAAAGACTTCTTCCTAAAAAACCTATAATAAATAAACACACAAGGTCCAGAGGATGTGTAACAATGGATGATGTGCATTAAGATTCTGCGTGTGCCTTATCGTGACCAGTTTGTGTCAACAAGTCAACAAAACCAGAACAGATCATTTATAAAACATCAGGAGATCTTCTTTCCAGTGACCTGCTGCAAGAGTGTGCCTGACTGTTTATCAGGAGCTCATTGTTGTTGTTTTCTCCTCGCAGGCAGCGATACGCAAAGAGCTGAATGAGTTCAAGAGCAGCGAAATGGAGGTTCATGCGTCAAGCAAACACCTAACAAGGTCAGTGTGTGTTTCCATTTCTTCCGTGTGTATATATACATGGCCTGTTTCTATATATTGTTCCACGTTTGCATAACCGTTCACCACAAAAAATTATTGCATCTACGATAGATCACTTCTCACACGGTCGCTTGCATAACAGCTAAAGCTGCAGGACACATACAGTAGATCAATACGGGAGGCTGTTCTAAATATAGCCATATCTGCACTGTCCTGAAAGTGCGGAATTTGCAGAATAAGCACACATAAGCGCTCGCCGACATGTAGAACAAATACTTGCTCACATTTAGCTTACGTTTGTTTTACGTTAGACCTCATTTCTGTGGACACAAATAGCTGAACAAGGCCCCAGTCCTGTGCTGAGCAGAGCTCTGTCTGGCACACACACACACACACACACTCTTCTATTAATACACATTTGATGGATGATAGTCGGTTTTTGGGGCGTCTTACAGGTGTCTTCTCCCTTTGCATTGCAGGTTCCATCGACCATAGCAAGGTTTCTTCCGTGAAGAATATGCTAACGGTATCTCTGTGAAGTCAAAGACCTCAGGAGGCTGTCCATGGCTGCTCCATGGAGGGCCTGATATTTGGGCGCTAGCGAACCTTGGAGGCTATGTCTCTGGAGCTTCAGCTTGAAGAAGCCAAAACCCTCCAAACTCCACTCAGTCCAGCTGCAAGTCTGGACCTTTATTCTTTTTTCAGGGGACTCTGGTGGGACGGTGGATGACTGTTTGAAAAAAAAAGACATTTGACTTTGTTTTTTTGTAATGGACTGTTTTAAACGGTCCCCTTTTGATGCCAATGGGGGGCGTGTGGGGGGGTGGGGGGTCAAGCATGTGAATTTTTCGAACATTTTTCCCACTCCAGTTTTGGTGCTCTTGTGACACCCCAAGCGTTTCTGGGCTCCTACTAAAACTTGAGTTTCATATCAGCTGTATAGATGTTAGTACGAGGAACGGAAATCATGTCTTACCTTTGCAAGGACTATTTATTGTCTGTACAGTACAAGCTTTGGATTTTTAACAAACGACAATGTCTGTCTTCTTTTCTGAATGAATGGATGGATGAGGAATCAACTTAGCTAAACGTGCTCATATGTGACCCTGGACCACAAAACCACAATCTTAATTGTCAATTTTTCAAAATTGAGATTTGTACATCATCTGAAAGCTATGTAAATAAATTCCATTGATGTATGGTTTGTTAGGATAGGACAATATTTGGCCGAGATACAACTATTTGAAAAGTTCTTAGCAATGCATATTACTAATCAAAAATTAAGTTGGAAATTTACAAAATATCTTCATGGAGCATGATCTTTACTTAATATCCTAATGATTTTTAGCATAAAAAAATAATAATTTATTTTAAACCCATACAATGTATTGTTGGCTATTGCTACAAATATCCCCCAGCGACTTAAGACTGGTTTTGTGCTCCAGGGTCACATATCTCCTTCAACTCTCATGGACCAACTTTACTGACAATCCTCATCTCTTGTGCTCGTTTGTCTAATCGATCTCTTGTTTCGTGTACGCCAGATTCAGTTTCTTTCAAGTCTTTTAGATATAGTAGTCTTACATAAGCGCTCAGGAGGTCTCACTGTCCTTGAAGAAAACACGAGAAGTCATTATTTCCATTGACACACTGTCATGTGCCCTTACAGCTGAACTGAGTCAGAAGCACATTGATTGCCTTCCTCAGATGCCATTAGCAGGAGGTCGGATGGAGAAATCTCTGTAGGGGAAGGGTCAAGAAGAGTGCTAATGCAAGGGAATAAAAAAAGTATCACTCATATTTACTCATATTCACATTTTGATTCAGCCCGAAGAAGCCAAAACCCTCCAAACTCCACTCAGTCCAGCTGCAAGTCTGGACCTTTATTCTTTTTCAGGGGACTCTGGTGGGACGGTGGAAGACTGTTTGAAAAAAAAAAAGAAAAAGACATTTGACTTTTTCGTTTTTTTTGTAATGGACTGTTTTAAACGGTCACACATCCCATGGGGGGATGGGGGTCAAGCGTGTGAATTTTTCGAACTTTTTTCCCACTCCAAAATCAAGAGCATAACCTTGTTTTGCTTTATTTATTGAGTAACATATTTAGTTGAAAATACACGATTAGGACTAATACAAGCAAGTTGCAAAGTCTGCTTGTGCATTAGAGAACTAATGATTTTTAAAATAGTCTAGTTCCACATGGCACTCCTGGATAAGATGTTAACAAGGCACAACTGGAAACAAATGTACAAACCTCAGTGAATTATTCTAAAAGTTTTCCAGCGAAGAAATATGCAAGACAATTCATCACACATTAAGAGAAAGAATTTTAAGCATTCTGAAAGAGATGTTAAGACACTGCATAGCTGTAGGCACGACACTGTGAATGATTAAAATAGCACTATAACGTGCAATATATAATTGAGTTCTAAAGGAATTGAAAGAATGTGCATGAAGTCTGTTCTATTTTTGCACAGACACTTAAAGATGAAAGTCTCCTTCCCCCAGCGACTTAAGACTGGTTTTGTGCTCCAGGGTCACATATCTCCTTCAACTCTCATGGACCAACTTTACTGACAATCCTCATCTCTTGTGCTCGTTTGTCTAATCGATCTCTTGTTTCGTGTACGCCAGATTCAGTTTCTTTCAAGTCTTTTAGATATAGTAGTCTTACATAAGCGCTCAGGAGGTCTCACTGTCCTTGAAGAAAACACGAGAAGTCATTATTTCCATTCACACACACACACACACACACACACACACACACACACACACACACACACACGCATCGCAGAGCTATGAGGAGGGAAGATCTGCCTTTAGTTTTACATTCGTTTCTCTTTTCTGAATAAACACGGATTAAATGTTTGGCCGAGTTAATGTTAGGTTATATGTTAAGAAGTCACAGTTTTTCCGTTATGACAGAATAGCTGCTGTAAGCGGGCCAGCAGAAAGCAGGTCAGCGGTGTCGGTTGATGGAAAGAGCGCACTATAATCACCTTACAACACCGCCACAGTTTCCCTTTGAGGTGAATGGAAAAGAAGACGTGAAGATCGCAAACAAGAGTCTGAAATTAATTAATGAAGACAATATTTACATCATTATTGAAACAACTGATGAGAAACTACAGCAATGGTGAAAACTAGTTTATTTTTTCCTTTTTAACACACTCCTGCTGCTGTGTTCTTCCACACTTAAAGTCTATATGAACCAATAAGAAAGTCAAATCGTTTATGTAGCTCAAAAAGCAGAGCATGGCACTAGAAATAACTAGTCATGGGTTCAGTCCCCATTTGAGTATACAGCATCGGAAAGGAGAACGAGGACCACATGAGCGACTGACTTCTGCAGTATTTGTTTCATATATTTTCATGCCAACATTCTTCGGAATATCTTCTTTTGTGTTCAACAGATTAAAGAACAACAAATCGAGGGTGAGTAAATGATGACAGATTGGTCATTTTTGGATGAACTATCCCTTTAAAATTGAAATCAAGCATTTCTCATCAGTTTCTTCCGATGCCAAAGCATCTGTGTAGTCCACATTCATTTTATTATACTTGGCTATACAGTATATTCTTGTTATAAGTCAACAACAATTTACAAGTTTCATTCATGTCTACTTTTATTCTCCTGAGGAATTTTAATAGAAATATTGGCTATTTCTATAAGTTAATACTTTCCAACCTGTGAGTACTTGTGAGACTGAAGTCAATAAGAGTTATATATTCAAAATGTGTTTAATATATTACACAGACAAAGTAATCAAAAGAGTCTGCATGGTGTCCCACAAAACTGATCAAACCACAAAGAGTGTTTCTGATTGGCTCATGTTAGAAAACCTCTCTCTCTTAGATGAGAAAGGCAGCTCCTTTAAAAAAAATGTCCCTTCTATTTTGTTGGGGCTGGAACAGAGACATGTGTGTTTCTCAAGACACCTTGCTCACTGATAATGTCAGATAATAGGAACATTTTATGCATGATTTTCCAAAACACCTTTAATGACTAATAGAAAATAATTCACTTTTAAGTAGCTGAGGGTTTTGCCCATCTAATTGAGCTTTTTAGTATGATGTTCCAGACATCTCACAATGAGAACATGACTGCTATAAAATGACATGAAGTGCATTGTAACATTTCCAGCATGGCATTCATCGCTCCCTGCGGTGAAGGCAGATTAGACACTTAGACACGCACTGTTTAGTGCAATTTTCCTTTGCCATGTGAAATGTGTAATTTAACACGTTGGCAATTTCAAGACCTTAAGACTTACCACTCCCAAAATGACTCATTCTGTATATTTCATAATAAGACATCTTGAAATTCATGCACATATTATTACTATCGTGTACAACACAGGTTTAAGTCAGGCCTCTGCGGTAAAAATCAACCACGCGTCTGTCTTGTCATGCACAGATTCTGCACTGGTTTTATAACATGTGTATAACAGACAGTGCATAAATGACAAAGCTACCTTTGTGTCAGATCAGCACTGCTCATGTAAGAGCATCAGATGTGTTTTCATGCATTATTTGATCTATTCTCAGTAGAGTTGTATTTGCATCAGCTCCACAGGCCTGGCAGCAGAACAGAAGTGTAGATCCAGCATGTTGATTACATTATTCACAGCAGGAATGGTGCGAGGAGTGACTGACATTTGTGAAAACACAAAGAGCTTGGAGCTGTGATGATCGAGGGCTTGCCACAACCTGACCACATCTTTAAGTTAATGACAAAACCACAAACTCCCATAAATATAACAAGATCTGCATCCGATCTCCTCTTTTATATGGCCATTGCACTTACAGTCGAGTTATTTACATGACAGCCCTAATGATTCATATTAATGAAGGCATTTAAAGCTCATGCATAAGAGATTAGCTCCTTAACTGAGTCAGTCTCCTTTCATCGGAAGAAATGGATGCCTGAGCCACTAAAGCACCCGGTTAATATTTCTCTGTGAGGCCAGTGAAACACAAACAGAGCTGTGGGGCTAGTCATTATATTTCTTCGTACGCAAACTCCAGGTCCTGCCTTTTTTATCTTGAGGTAAATCTCAGGAAATGTGTCATGTGTAATAATGTCTTGATTCATTTCTGCATGAAACAACATGACACAAGGCAGAGAAAAACACTAAAATGAGGGATTTTCTTCCTCATCTTGTAAGAAATCCTAGTCAGAAAATGTGCAATAGGGTATAAACAAGGAACAAACCAAAATTAGTTTGGCCACACTTTTATCAGTTACTGCCTATAGTATGCAGTGACTATGAATGTACTATTGCACATTGGGCAACATCGATGTTTGGATAAAACGTAAGCCAATTAAACTAAGCATGAAAAGGGGTACAAACAGTTTTATGATACTTAATTTAGGGCCAAGACTCAATTTTCTAAGTACGTATATACAGTGAGTTTTTCAGATCTGTCTGTTTTGATCGTCCTTTTCTTCCCTAAATCAAATGTGGAACATTTAAAGTTACAAATGTCCACCTCAAGATTCACAGCACCATCTAGTGTTTGATCACAGTTTTATTTAAAATCGCAGATGCTTTCTGTTACTGTCAACAACAGTTCACAATGATCTATTGTTATACAATGAAAGAAAGAAAGACACTTCACAAACATGTGATTAAAAAGAGGACGGTGACTCTAGTAATGATGGTAATGCTCGGCATACTTTTGTGTAGTTATAACAATAGTAAAGGCAGCCAGGCGGAATCATTTCAGAAATGCACTGCAACTGTCAGGCTGTGTGTCAAAGGTGAAGGCGTGCTTATAGTAGTTTTGTTTTTGGTTTAAAGATGATGATATTTTTAGACCTGACCTCATATTTCTGTCATGTGCCCTTACAGCTGAACTGAGTCAGAAGCACATTGATTGCCTTCCTCAGATGCCATTAGCAGGAGGTCGGATGGAGAAATCTCTGTAGGGGAAGGGTCAAGAAGAGTGCTAATGCAAGGGAATAAAAAAAGTATCACTCATATTTACTCATATTCACATTTTGATTCAGCCCGAAGAAGCCAAAACCCTCCAAACTCCACTCAGTTCAGCTGCAAGTCTGGACCTTTATTCTTTTTCAGGGGACTCTGGTGGGACGGTGGAAGACTGTTTGAAAAAAAAAAAGAAAAAGACATTTGACTTTTTCGTTTTTTTGTAATGGACTGTTTTAAACGGTCACACATCCCATGGGGGGATGGGGGTCAAGCGTGTGAATTTTTCGAACTTTTTTCCCACTCCAAAATCAAGAGCATAACCTTGTTTTGCTTTATTTATTGAGTAACATATTTAGTTGAAAATACACGATTAGGACTAATACAAGCAAGTTGCAAAGTCTGCTTGTGCATTAGAGAACTAATGATTTTTAAAATAGTCTAGTTCCACATGGCACTCCTGGATAAGATGTTAACAAGGCACAACTGGAAACAAATGTACAAACCTCAGTGAATTATTCTAAAAGTTTTCCAGCGAAGAAATATGCAAGACAATTCATCACACATTAAGAGAAAGAATTTTAAGCATTCTGAAAGAGATGTTAAGACACTGCATAGCTGTAGGCACGACACTGTGAATGATTAAAATAGCACTATAACGTGCAATATATAATTGAGTTCTAAAGGAATTGAAAGAATGTGCATGAAGTCTGTTCTATTTTTGCACAGACACTTAAAGATGAAAGTCTCCTACAGCAATAATAATACTGAACTGATCAAGTATTGCATTCTAATTGTTCTTGGGTGGTAGCCAGTACTGAAATTAGAGCCGTTTTTTAAGATAAATTCCATTAGTGTGACATATTAAAGTACTCTTGATGTACAAACCTCAGTGAATTATTCTAAAAGTTTTCCAGCGAAGAAATATGCAAGACAATTCATCACACATTAAGAGAAAGAATTTTAAGCATTCTGAAAGAGATGTTAAGACACTGCATAGCTGTAGGCACGACACTGTGAATGATTAAAATAGCACTATAACGTGCAATATATAATTGAGTTCTAAAGGAATTGAAAGAATGTGCATGAAGTCTGTTCTATTTTTGCACAGACACTTAAAGATGAAAGTCTCCTACAGCAATAATAATACTGAACTGATCAAGTATTGCATTCTATTGTTCTTGGGTGGTAGCCAGTACTGAAATTAGAGCCGTTTTTTAAGATAAATTCCATTAGTGTGACATATTAAAGTACTCTATGCTTGGGATGAACACATGATTATAAAGACCCTTTATACATACAGTGCTGTGAAAACGTAGGGCTCAGAAAAGCTAAATTAAAGTTTTGGAGTGGCCTAGTCCTGACTTGAACCCAATTCAGATGCTGTGGCAGGACCTTAAACAGGCAGTTCATGCTTGAAAACCCTCCAATGGGGCCACACTGTGTGATGGGCCAAAATCCCACCACAGCGCTGTGAAAGACGGATCTACAGTAATCTGTAGCGTTTAGATGCAGTCAGGGTCGCCCTTAGCTGATGCGGGGCCCGGTGCGATCTAGGGAGCGGAGCCCCCCTCGGTCCGTTCGAGATCGCGTTCTGGGGGGGGGGGGCCGTTCCGGCGGCCGCACCAGTTGCACCCCCCTAAGGAAGGCCCTGGATGCAGTTAATGTTGGCACAACCAGATTTTAGGTTTAAGGGGGCAATTTATTTTTCACAGGAGTGATAGGTGTTGGATACCTTCATTGAAAATAAATCAATAAAAGTTGTATTTACTCAGGTTTAGTATGAAATATACACAAGAACAGACAAAATCAGGATGGGGGCAAACACTTTTTTCACAGCACTGATCATGGCTAGTGGAGAGTCAAATGAAATGCACCAGGCTATCTTCACACTCTCTGGGGACCGTCAATTTGTACGTCTGGCAGGTCAGTTTATAATTACACCCACCATTGTTGTCCCAGAACTCAAATCCTCTGACCCGGTAGCAGATGGCGAACTGTAGCAAGGCACCTGGTTGCAGGATGAACGGCGGTACAGGCAGGTGAAAACGAAACATGTCAGACTCCGGATCTGGCCCATCTCTGTGGACGGTGGAGATCCAGCTCGCTTTACTCTCCGCGCTGCACTTCCAGTCCGTAAATGAGTATCGTACCGTAACCTCTTTCACATAGGCCAAGTTCAGCACTTGCACGGTTCCGATAATTCCCAGCTCAGAGCAAAACACCTGCTCCAGGCAAACTCGCTGCTGGCACAAGCGCTTGAGGAAACCAGCCTCGGCATGCATGTTGTCAGGGAAGGATGGCTGGAAGTAGGGTAGAGAGAGCTCCAGCTTTTTCCTGGAGGCCAGCTCAGAGCTTGCCAGCAGTCTTGTGATGACGTGGACCGGCACCATTGGGTCCTCGCTGGCCTTGAAGAGCTTCACATCTTCCAGTTCCAATCCCAACGAATCTACGAAGCGGACCTGCACGTTCCTGCAGGTGTGCTCTTCTGTGGAGGACGAGAGGGATTTAGCCCGTCTCCTCATGATGGGTTTTGGCTCTGGCTCGCATGACCGCCTACGCCGGACAACGGGCTCCTGGGGAGGACCTGGTTTTGGGCTGGGTGGCCGTATTGCCACAGGGGTCCTTTGTGGGGTTGGCTTGGGGCGGTAGATGTCTCGAAGATGAAAGGTCTTGACGGGTCTAGATACTTCACTAAAACCACTTGTGAACTGCAAGGCAGGTCCTGATCCATGCGGATGGGATTCCATTCTCTCTGCGCTCTCTATTAGCAAAAGGAGAAAAACTTGCCAACACAAAAAGTAATGCTTTCACACTTGTAAATACGTGAGTGTATTTGCCAAGTAGCATCTTTTTGCTCTTTTGCCAGAGACATTTGACAAATTATGGACCACTGTTGACAACCATAAAGTGTCACTACATTTGGAACTGTTTTTGTGAAATGATTTGCTATGCTAACGAAAAGACATTCAGACATTTTAAAATCACTAGCCTATTAATTTCTTCATTATGTTCTCCACTTCAAACACATAAATGGCAAAAGGAAACTTTTGACAGCTAAATACACTGAAAGCATCTTCACAAGAAAATCGAGCAATACTGTTCAATCTCTACATCTGGCTACAGACTCTTACCTTACTGTAAGGTGTGAGGACACAACTTTACGAACTACGAAGAACGCCCTCGTTATGTGCAGTTAAAACTAAAATAGGACAATGTTAATTTTAAAGTGGAGAAGACTTCTTCAGCCAGTGTGGTTGTAATAAAATACGCGGAGATCGAGCGCCTATGACATTTAACTACTGATCCCACGGGAGGTGCAGTCTGAACTATCTTCCCGACGATTATTATTAGACCACCGTACATGAGATACGACATTCTCACGTCCCGTCTGTAAACAACAAGTCAATCTCGATGCGAATAAACGCCGCGACAAGCTAGAACGCAACGAAATGTGTCTTAAATAGCGCGCGTCGCTCGCATACAGTGCACATGGGGTCTCAGACATAAAGGCTTCACTGTAAGCCTATGACACTGTTGACTACATTCCCCACACAACAATGCGCCCTTCAGCATCCACACAGCTGGAGTAGCTTACACGCCTGCGTAAATATCCTCATTCACAAGCTTCAGACAATTAACTCTATATCGATTAGTGTAGCGCATTAGACGAAATCGAACAGACCGACTAATTTGACCGATGCATCTCATTACAGACAGGCTGATCCGGTCGTCGCTGAATTATTTAGGACAGAACGGTACAGATGCACCGAGGATTAAAGCGAGCAGTGCGCGAGACAGTCGATTGATCGTGGGAGTGAACCTCACATGATCGAGAAAAAATACATATGCCTTCATATAGATCAAAAGACCCCGTGCATATAATATGAGAGAATCCATCCGTTCTAGAAGATCCAGGCTGCTTTGAGAAACGCCAGTGATGGGAACGGTCTTACAGGAGAGCACTGTGCATAACAGTCAGAATAAGCTTCGTTCGTCTGATAGAACAAAAACGAAAGCTTTGGGACATGCACCAAGGTAACGATAAATAACCTTAATTAAATTAAGGTCATGTTTTATTTACCTGCCAGGTCACGCTTGGATTTAAGCTTCTTTAAACATGTTACCCAATTTAGCTGCCTTTATTTCTGAACTGATCTTGACTAACCTGACTTTTTCACTCAAAGCAAGAAAAACACAAAAGCACCTTTGCATCCACCACCGAATAATGACATCAATCAGTCATCTGAACCTGTGAGCACTCAACAGCAATGGGTTATGTGTGAACTTAATTTAAAATAGAATCATTAAATGAAGAAAAGTAAACATCAGCATGAATTGAGCTTCTGATTGTTATTTGTGAGTGCTGTTTTCCTCATGTCTGCAGGACTCTCAGCAAAGGTTAAGCAGGACGAGACTGGACTCAATGTTGTTCTTGGCGAAGCCCACAGGCAGGTTAGAAAAGAATTTGGCACATAGATGATTGATTGAGATAAAGGCTAACAGTTTTTATTTTTGTTTTACAGTGTTTAAGTTATGCATATTACATTTTACTATAACCTGATTATTATAATAGGCAGTGTTGGGGGTAACGCATTACAAGTAACGCGAGTTACGTATTCATATAACTTTTTTCAAGTAACTAGTAAAGTAAAGTTTAATTTACAAGAGAATATCGGAGTTACTTTTTCAGATAAGTAACGCAAGTTACTTTTTTCCTCCAAATCTATTGATTGACAGCTCTCCTGTCCCCATGTTGAGAGAAATCAGAAGATGTTACTCTAGTTTTAAAATAAATATGAATATGCATTAATTCATCTCACTCACACACACACACACACAAAACAGATTCAGTATTCCTCAAAATGAATAAAAATAATACAACTCAGAATATGACGCAAACCTGCAATAATTAAATGTTAAACAACACAAATATGCTTTATGTATTTAATCCCATTCTATAAAGCAATGTCTTTGCTTCTGACTTTCGATGATCCAGTTCAGCCGTACTAATCAGCACAAATTACTCTAGACGAACATTCGTGTGTCTTTTTTTATTGCTGAAGTGTGTTGAAATTTCTTCTTCTGCATTCTACTGTACGGACGTAATTTTACATTTCACTTTTGGTGTGAAAAGGCTTTTATATTTGCCAAAAATATATATTTTTTATTTTAAAAACAAACGAGCAAGCCCTGTCCAGATTTAAAAAGTAACTAAGCAACGTAAATAGTTACTTTTTTTATGGAGTAACGCAATATTGTAATGCATTACTTTTAAAAGTAACTTTCCCCAACACTGATAATAGGACAAGCAGCTAAAATAAATATATAAATAAAGCCATGTGCATAATTATTTTTGTCAATATGTGGCAAAATAAAATGTGACCAGATACTGTAAACCATTTCAAAGACATTTAAAACCCTTTCCTTTGGCTCCTCAAGGCAACACACCACTAAGATCAAATCTCATGCCACTTCCAAAAATGGACAGAAGGAGAGACGACAAAGACCAAACAGCCATGGTGCAAAAGAGAGTGGTGGTAGGGGTAAAAGTTCAAGTATAAGACCCGTAACCCCTCATTCTGTACAAGTTCAGAGAGAAAACTCATCAGAGTGCAGAAGCGAAGACGAGGGCTGTACACTACAAAGTAAAGATGGAGAAGAGGACGGTGCCAGTGACCTCTCAGACCCTGAAAGATCTGCGCTTCCAGCTCAAATCTCTCCTCCTGACCTCATCCTACGTGCAGAGGTCATAGATCCGTCTGCCTTTCATCCCTCGAGACCGTCTTGTCGAGCGCACAACAGCTATCCAGATTTCTTACCGCCTCCTTTCAATTCTTGGAGTCTCCTGCAGTTAGCTGTGTACTTGAACACCGAAGGCAAGGGCATTCCTCGACCCAAGCCTGTTGGGCAGCTTGAGAGATACTTGGACCGGCTATTGCAATTGGAATGGCATCAGATCCAAACGGCCCAAGAAGACTGCAGCAAATCCAATGCCCCATTACCTAAAGCTCGCCACTTGCCTCATTCGTCTTCTCATCTCAGCCTCAGCTCTCCTAAATGCATCCTCCAGTGCCAGCGAGCGTTCCCTTTGACGTTACTGTCCTCTTTGGCCAGTGCTCCCACCCTTCAGCTGTCAAGCTGTACTTGCCCACACTGCCAGAATCAGTATCCCATCTTGAATGGCCCATGCCGCTCTTATGCCTACCACCACCACACACGGCTGAGTCCACTCCTGGAGACGAAGGGCCTGGCCTCAGGTTTGCCTAAAAGGAGCAGCAGTGAGAGCAGGGCTCATCAGCCGGATCCCAGACACCGATCTCGAGAGCACAGACTCAGCGACCCTTTCAGCGAGAGCAGCCACTTGAGGCGCATGCAGGCTATCGGTAACATTCGCAATCCGGTTGCTTCCACATACAGTGTTGACCAAGCTTCTTCTACAGCTACAACAACCAGCAATGCCAGTATTGGGGATGTAAAAAAGAGAAAGCCAGGGCAAAGGAGTCATTCCTGTGTGGGTTCGAGGGAGGTCGGCTATAGGGCAAGAGGACGCAGTGAACAAAGGAAGACCTTTGATAAAACACAAAAGGACTCAAAATTATCTTGTGCTGTAAGTTCAGATGGGTTACATAGCTCAAAAGACTCATTGACTAATCAAGTGAACAGGAGGCAAAAGCATGTTGAATTTGTCACAAAGTAACTTCAACACAGTGGCCTGGAAATCAGTTAAAATGTATGAATTTCATTACATTAGATAAGGAAATTTTAAACCAAGTGGCATATTTTCTGAGCATATTTACAACTGATCCCAACATTTCAGTATTTTAGTGAATGTATGAGGTCAGTTCATCACATTAATTATAAACGTGATGTTACACTAATATTTTGCTAACAGAATGTTTCACAGTACTTTATACAACTTCATTTTTCAGCATATCTATTGACTGATCATTTAAAACCAAAAACAAACTATTGATTTTAATATGTTTTACTTTAAAATACTGTAAATGCCACTTGGTGTATATATATCTTTTTTTCATCTAATGTGGTGACATTCTGTTCAGTGTGGTTTAAGTGTCCAAATAGTTTTTTGGATCATTGTATGTACATATTCTTCTTAAGTTCAGTACTTCTTACCATACAAAATCAGTTTTGCCTGTTTACGCATGGTGTTTATGCATGATATACAGTACCGCCGGTAAAAATCTTATTTTTAGTAATTGTTTAAGCAACTTGCTCTTTTATAAATCCATTGTTTGAAATAGCAATATATCTGCATTCATTTCTTTGAAGCATCTTCTATCAACAGGTCTGACTGCAATTTCATAAATTCAGGTCCCTTTAGGGATCTTTAATCTAATGTTAAGTTTAGTTTAAAATAGACAATTGTTATTTCTGCAATACTTGTTAATTTATATGTAGGCAGTGCTTATACAGATGTTTCAGGTACAGCAATGTATTTAACCCTTGTACGCTCCTCATTTGGGGGTCACACTCTTGGTCTTCGCGGTCAAACACCTGAAATTTAACTTTTTTTTTCTTCATTAAAATCAGTCGAACATATTTTTGTTCAATAATATTTTTTCTTTTATATTTTGAGATAATTTTATGGTTCTAATTAATATTTATGCAATAATTATGATCAATTTTTCCCACTGAAAATTTTTCAATTAATGCAGTATTTCAGATTTAAATAGAGACTAGGCCTTTAAAATCCAATTTTTTAATGCCTAATAGCACCTCCTGGTGAGAGCAAGAAAAAGAAAAGAAAAGAAAAACCTGTAATTTCATGGTGTAACCACTAGATTACTGTATAGGACTCGATAGAGAGGCTTGTGAATTCCCTTGTTGTTTTTATACATAATTGTTTACTTTTATTAGGTTGTGGATCTAAATGTATATTAAGGCATTCTCAAAGACTACTTTTTGTCAAGGTTTATATTTTTTGTTGTTTTAAATGTTGATTTGAAGTGTAGGTTTTTGCATTATTATTACATCATTCAAACCTGAACACAGAAAGCAGTTTGTTGCACAGAACATTAAAATTCTATACAAATGTAACAAACATGAACAGGAATGCTTTATCAGAGCTTAATCCTTCTGGGTCTGATCTGATCTGATTTTAACCTCTTATTTCAGTCTTCTGACTCATTTTGGCTATACGGTTATAGCCATGCCAATTCATTTTGTATGTATAATTCTGTATGTGCGTCTGTGAGTGTGTGTGAGTGGATGTATCTGTTTTACACTCTTGATGTTTTAGAGTGTAACCCCTTCCTTGCTGTCCACTTTTTTTACTGCAATGTAGTTTAATTATTTATTTTATTTTACATAGTTGCAGGGTTACAGTCACACCAATTCATAGGTGTGTGTGTGTACAAGTGTGTTGGTGTGTTGATTTTGCACTCTTAGATGTTTTAGAGTTTCACCCCTTCATTGCTGTGCAATTTTTTTTTCTGCATTGTGGGGGATTTGTAGATGTGTTTTTTTCCCTATTTTCTTTTTTCCATTTCCCATTCATTTCCTATGGTTGGTCATTTTTGACTGAAGACCATGAGTGTGACTATTTTTTTTTTCCAACCACTTAGCTTTTTCGAATCATGCCCTCATTTTGTATTTATTTGTTTTATGTGTTCACATACCAAGTGCCATAAAAGTCACCAAGTTTTGTACCATTCTAGTGAAGCTATGATTTTTAAAAATTCAAAATGTAAAATTCTCCGGTCGGAAGTGACCGAAGACCGCACAAGGGTTAATAGTACAACTGATGTTTCGCTGTTAGCAGCACTGGTTAACCACTCACACTAGAGTTTACAATTACACATGATATGCTTGAGCTGAAACTTCATGTGTCTGCACACCATTACCCTCAACCTGACTGTCCCAATGAGCACAAGCAATCGTCTTACGTTGTGTAACTTATTATTTTTCTCATTCTAAGCCTGAATCATAAGGTGAATGTGAAGACCATAAATAAAATATGTTTTTAAAGCTCTTTACAATCCTCTTGACAAGGGAAGCGTAACTAGGACATGTTTATAATAGCCAGATCCAAAGTAATTCCAGATGTTTGAAGGACAGATTCGTTTCTTACCAACACTTGTTCAGAGTCTGTTGAATAAAATGAATGCCTGTAATTTATTTCTTTTATGAATCAATCATAGAAATTACATTCAGACAAGAGTCAACTTATTACTTTTCATTTAATTTTAGAATATTTAGAATTCTTTTACTGGTTAAATTTTAAAGACATAAACACATTGTGTAATACCTTAAATATGTTCTTTTTATGACAGATAGTTATCACAGATAAATAGTGTTCTTGTCAAATAATTGCTGTGACATGCCCCACTATAGTTACAATGCTAAATGTTGAGGGTAATTGAGCTATCAAAATACGGTGACAAGCTGTCCCTTCTTTTGAGTCCAATCTTTTCCATCATGGGAAATATATCAAGTAGACAAATCTTTTTATTTATCAGTTTATAAAATAATATATTTATAAAAAATAAATGCAATAATTTGATGACATTTAAGGATATTTAGCTTTGGGGGAAAAAAGTAAATGTCTAATGCCATGCAAAGAAAATTCTGCGTATAGGCTATTCAGAGAAATTGGTGCTAATGGACTGGCCATCTGTTCTGGTCCCAGACGCTAGCGTTTATTGTTATAATTTAAAGATTGTAGACTCATCAGAGACAGAGAAGTATTTTTAGTTTTTTTTGGTCACTGGTGGTCAAAATGCACACCAAACAACGCGAGGGGCCATTCACACAGAATGCGCTGTTGCATTTAAAACTGTGAGACGCAAGACAATTTAATGAAAAAAAATAGATATGTATATATCTCGAGATGCACTACCTTAAAGTCTAGTCAGAATTGGGTTGTGCTTTTTTAGAACGATCAAGACGCTGCAAATGATCAAACATACAGGTGCATCTCAATAAATTGGAATGTCGTGGAAAAGTTAATTTATTTCAGTAATTCAACTCAAATTGTGAAACTCATGTATTAAATAAATTCAATGCACACAGACTGAAGTAGTTTAAGTCTTTGGTTCTTTTAATTGTGATGATTTTGGCTCACGTTTAACAAAAACCCACCAATTCACTATCTCAACAAATTAGAATATGGTGACATGCCAATCAGCTAATCAACTCAAAACACCTGCAAAGGTTTCCTGAGCCTTCAAAATGGTCTCTCAGTTTGGTTCACTAGGCTACGCAATCATGGGGAAGACTGCTGATCTGACAGTTGTCCAGAAGACAATCATTGACATCCTTCACAAGGAGGGTAAGCCACAAACATTCATTGC